CGTAACAATATTTTTAATATAAATATATTTTTGGTTTCATTTGCCGAAAACCCTAATACTTCAAAATTTATTTTGTAGAATTGTCTTTTTTTATGTTTTTAATTTTGAGATATTTTCTTTTTTTTTGTGATCGTCCCCTGGTGGGACAGCGTTAAGTTTTCAGACTTAGAGTGATACAATTCGTGGCTTGATTCCCCGCAGTAGACACAGTAGATATCCCAATGTGGTTTTGCTCTAAAACACAAAAAATTTTGTGACATTAAACCACTAACGAAGGCATGTGGTAATTATTATAAAGGGTTTAATATAAAAAAAAAGCTTTAAAAGGAGAAATACACAGAAATGATTAAAAACGTGAAAACACGAAAGTTTATTTGCCATAAGAGTTCTACAGCTGAAATCATCGAGTCTAGGACAACAAAAATAATAACCAAAATATCAGTGAAAGTCCTACAATTATAAGTTGAAAAAAAAAACAGTTTCGGGTACATTTTATTGGTTAAATGTCGAACAAGAGTGATGGGAGGTCATTTGTCTGGGCGGTATATTTTACAGTTAACTACATCATTTTCTTTTTAACTTAAAACCCTTCTAAATGTTCGACAAGTGCACAAAATAACTCCGCTATTTTGTCGTATAGAAGAATTTTGTTGGATATTGCAATGTACTAATAGGAGGAGAAAACCAGCACAAAGTCTGCTTGTTAACCTTATTACTGAACCAAATCACAAATAAGACGAATGATGACACAGTAGCTATTGAGCAGGGAAAGCTTTACGAGATGTCATTTTTCTGAGGGTCGTGCAAGAACTTTGAAAACAGCCACAACCAGCCCTATACATATCATCCTCGAAATTCCTTAGCGTTACAGGATTTATGGGCCATCGTTTCCAGAATATAAAAGCTAATCTCAGGGAATTTCTTTCCACATCAGCCAGCACCCAGACAACATTTGTAGAGAAGTGGACCAAATATAGTATATTTGTTGAAAAAGAAAATTAGCCGATATAACTACTAAAATAACCACCTATGTGCCATATAAATCGTCTGGTAATAAGATCGATCCACTTAACCTTCTCCAACCATTTTTATACGGATACTTCGGATTAATTCTTTAGTAGGCTGTACCTCACTATTTATGATGACATAAAAATGTCCGGAGTGTTATATTTTTAATACTTTAACTATACAAAACAGATGTCGTCTTAATATTTTAACCCCAGATTAGACCAAAACTACCCCAAATGCCTTCTGTAGACCAATCATATCTTTTCTTCAATTCTCACTCCTTTATCTGCATAAATAATAAAAGGAGAAACTCTGGTAAACATTCTTATGTATTTGTTACAGCCATTCTGTCCGCAATTGGAACTTGAGCTTCCTTTAACGTGTTATACAAGTGAGGCTTTTAATTTACCCGTTTAAGGCTAATTAACATTACGTTGAGTTGGAATTAATCCCACAACCCGCACGCGCATAGACGACCAGCAAGACTAGTCTCTATGTGTATTATAGGTTGTGTACCACACATACATGTGTTAAATAAAGTGAAACATATTTCCCAATTATATATTATGTAGAGCCATTCATTATGTAATTTTGAGCGTGTGTTCAAACACAATGACTTTTTTCTGCCCTCTTGGCTATTCAAAGAACTATATTTAGGGACTCGTTAAGATAAAATTTTGCATGAAAAGAGGGAAGGGGAAACATATAACATTTGTTAACTCCAGACCAAGAACGTTACCATGGACAAACCCAAACTACAAATGGAAATATATGGCCGCCATCCTTGGAGGCGCTAGTAATACTACCAAAAATATAAAGATTTAAATATTGAAATTATCCACACACAAAAAAAAATTATCAACGGAAGCGATTAATGTGTAATTTATCAAATTTATAAATTTTTTGTCTTGAGCGGCTGGAACAAGACTGATGTGGAATTCATTTTGGCGAAACCTCGTGTTATAAAAAATGTTCCATATTCCAATTTTATAGTTTTTCAGTAGGGGTGGTTTCAATTTCGACATAGACTATTTATTATAAAATCAGTTTGATTATTTTCTTACACGGCTGGTAAAGTGTAAAAAGGTAACACGTAACTCTCATTAAAATCTCTTCCAATACGTTCATGATAATTAACGATAGTAATCAATATTTTTAAAACAAACAAAATACACTAAACACACACACACAAGTAACATAATTACTGTCTAGTTCTGTCATAAAAAACTGGCGACATCAGAACGAAACTGAATATTATTACTGAAACTAGCTATGCTTGACTTGTATACCAACTATATGTCAGAAATATTAAGCGAAGTAGTTAAAAATATTTATCACTACAGTATCGAGAGTATTTATCTTGTTTGTTGTTGTTGCTAATGTTACTATGTGAAATAAGAAGTTAGGGGATGTGTTTCAAGATTTGCATAGAGGTTAATAATGTTCGCATGGTGTTGATTATCTTTTAAAATCAGGTTTACCTGTTAGTTTCTATAAAATACTCAGAATTTACATTAGAAGAACATCGAATTTCCTATAAAGAAGAGGAATGCTTACACTGAATTTCTGATTTTGCGTTTAGACATTACATTTTCGTAAACCCAATGAAAATAGTTAGAAATTAGAGTACTGTAAAGTAGTGTGGTGATTTAATTAATGCTCAAGAGAATTACATGGTAGGTGACGCTAGCTTCGCGGATTTCTCGGAACTTATCATTTTATATACCTTTTCTTTCGAAGAATATTTGACTTTATCTCTAAATTCGTCTCAAAAACATCTTTGGTTAACCCTATAAAATGTAACGAAGGAGACACATAAGTAAGCTAGTAATACTTTAAGCTGTAATAAATTTAGAAGTGACATAGATCACAGCTTTTAATATTTTAAAAATATTTTATCGCATTGAAAAAGAAATCCTACTACATAAAACAGTAATAAAAATAGATAATCCAGTTGTTCAACCTTTCATAGTGCCATATGTCTACCTCAACAGGCATCCAGACTT